GTTATCACCATTATTGACATCCGGAGTTGGCGTTGTCATCGCATCCTCGTCCGATCCTATGCTCGATTCTGAAGAGGACGTTGTGGTGGTGTCATTATTCTTGTTCGCGTCAGAATTTGCTGTTGCACTTGGATTTGCGGTGCTTAAACCGTTTGGGACCTGTGTCATATTTGCAGACTCAGACGTTGTAGTAGAATTCTGGCCAAAGCTTTTTTGTGAATCGTCACTAAGATCAGAGTTGGCTCCGTCGCCCGAGTCAGAATCAACATTTGAGCTAGCACTGGAAGTAGAATTGGCACTTGCAGCAAGGTTGACACTCTCAACCAGATCAACAAGGTCAACATTCACTTTGAGTTGTCGGTAGACGGTGGCTGATTTGGAAGCCACGTGTGCATTCGAGAAAAGTGCGGCTACAGCGAGTACCATTGCGAGGTCAGACACTCGTTTCCTGACAATCCGTAGCCGCCTGCGCCCCATCCTATCAAATAATTTAGCGTTAATACCCTGCGTAGCCCCCCACCTCGCTGTTTCTGTCTTTTAATATGTCTGTTTCTTCTTCGTCTTGTTGTCCGTCTGTTGCCTTTACTTCCTTGACTTTTGTCCAAAGGCTGGCGCTGATAGCAGCGTGAGTGTCGAGAATGCTCGATGCGCTGATGATAACGCCAAGACTAGTACCAGTACGAATGGGCCGGTGTCGAGACGCTTAGGCCTGAACAATGGCGACGGGCAGGCCTTTGTCATTTTGCACCGCCTCTACAGGCACAGCTGTTGCAAAAGACTTTTCACATCGCCAAGAATTAGTCCAAAGTTTTCAAAATTACACAATAAAAGCGTGGTAATATGAGTATTACAAATACCTACTCACAATTATTAAGTCGCTTCATATCAACGAGGCAAATTTGCAGGATGGGGAAGCCTGTAAGTGAGTCTCCTGTTCCCCGGGACTAGTATTCATCATGGTCAAGACATTTGCGACACACGATGTGTTGATATGTCTTCTTCCTCAGCCACTATCTAAAAGAGCTGCTGAACATGCATACTATCCCTCAAGTTTCAAAGTAATTTTTACAGTAGGGCACGGTCAACGTGTAGTCGATTTTCTCAGTATCCATCAGGCGGAAGAACATTTAAAACAGTCCGAATGGACTTTCTCTGTTGACTGATGGACAAATTGTCCGCGTTGTACAATCGCGACGTAGGTTCACATCAAACAATTGATCTACAAAGTAAGCAGATCACGTTTGCAGTATAACCAACAAGTTTCAGTGTCATTTAGTCTGTTTATATTGCTACGTAGAAGCACGCTTTCTTTTGTTCTGACTAAGAAGTGGCAACGTCGATTTCTCAGTGCTCAAAAGCAGCAGCGCAGTCTGCACACCCTGTGATCCTTTAAAGCAACAAAAAGCCCAACGTGGTGCTCAAAGTCGACCGATTTGCTGAACACTTGGCTGTCGTTCAGATATTTTTACGGATCTTGTCAAATTGCGGGTCTGACAAAATGTTGAGCTTGAAGACACAAATTGGGAGCAAAATCAGTGTCTTTCAACGTTTTAGAATCTCACCAAAGCGATTTCGCATAATTGGGACTTTCTGTTGTACATCGCAAGAGAAGACTACGGTGGTAACCATATCGAACATACCACAACGTGAACCCCAAAGCAGCAGCCAGCACTGCAGCCACAGAGAAATAAATAAGCATACTAAATTGGCTTGGGTCGTGAAATACGAAACCGGCCATTTGTATGACAACGTGGAACAATTGATAGGTTGCTGTCTGCATGGCGTTGATGGCGCCACGGCGGCTTGGCTCGATCCACTCTTGCAGGAGCTGTACTTCTGCAAGATCTGCACTCCAAAGCCATACACGTGCAGCAGCCACGCTGCACAGCATCACGTAATCCGACATACGCGACTCACCTGTTAGTAAAAATGCCACCAACACTGGCAGAAGACTCAGCCAGAACAGCCAAATGCTCGCGACTGCAACGCGCTCCAAACGTGAAAACGCTTGTCGGAGAAACGGAAACAGCACGGTGCCCAATAGTCCAAACATGGCACCGGCACCACGACTGAAACCCAGTAATGAGTCCGGTAAACCTCTCCATTTCAGATACGCCGTACTCAACGCACCATTGTCCAGAACAGTCATGTAAAGTGTGCAGTACGAGAAACTTAGCAGAAAAACGGGGTGTTGCGCGTAGACTCTCCACATCATTGCATACTTAAAAAGCGTTGATGAAGTGTCTAGTGGATGACACTGCTTTTTACTGTCTGGAGATTTCTTCTTTATCGCTAGCTCAGGAACAAAATTGTAAATATCTCGCGTCATAAGGTATTGAAGTGGCGATGCAAGACCGTTCCAGATAGCCACCGATATTGTACCGATCAATGCGCGCGTTGTGCGATCATACCCCGCGAATTCCATAATGATGCCAAATGCAAGAGGACCAAGCAATTTGCACACGAGATCAATACGTCGCAATCTTGTATTTAAACTTTCAAGTGCAAAGGTGTGCTCCACTTCACTGCTTTTCGCGATCACTACGACCCAGTCGCGCTCGATTCCTAGTGTTTGGGCCTCACTAAGTACTTGGCCCATGCCTCCACATACGAGTATGCCGACAAATAGCACCTTTAAGGACCATGTCCACTCTGGTTTGTGATATTCGTTTGCATCCGTTAGCAATGCCATCGCCCCCATGAGCATACTGCTAACAATTATGTTGATATTGTCCAAAATGATCGCTAGCCGCATAGCTTTCCAACGATCTGTCGAATCAAGTTGTCGACCCACTGATGGTATCAAAATAAGACACGAAGCGTACATAACGAGTGATAATGTGGCACTAGGAAGTAATGTGTCAACAAAAATTTCCATGAAAAGCACGGGCACAGCAAACTCCCACATGCGATCGCCCTACAGCGAGAGTCAGCAGTCAAATTTACTCCTGTCCAAGCTGCTTTGACGTACCCAAGCAGATAAGAAGTGACTGGCGAACAGATACATTTTCAAACGTCTGAATGGCTTGCACGACTGAGCCTCGTATTGCTTTTGTCCTTCTCTGTCAGTGCCAATCAAGGAGCCGTTAGATATTTGACAGAGTCATTCCATGTTATCGTCTGTTATGATACGTGCGATAGTCGAAACTTGTTGTTATCTCGTGCTTCACAACTGTCAGCTCGGGCTGCAAAGAGGCAACAAGTGATCGGCACTAGCATCGACACACCTATCGTGAGCATGACAATGCTGCTGGATTGCGTCACGACACACACATTTTTAACAGCAAGAAGGCAAGCTGTGCAGACATCATAATAAAGTGGTCATAATGGAGTGCATCACGGCAGCAAAACTTTGAAAACTTCATACCTGTGCCTTCTAATGTCAACAATAGACTGGCAAAGCCCACTACGACGCACGAGAACACAGTCGACTTCATCTACTAGGATTGAGAATATAGCAACCCAATTAGATACTATTGTTAAATTAAGTTGAAAACCAGGGTTTTCATATTTGTAAGCAATAATATTGCCGGATACAAAAGGTATTGATAATTGTGCAAAGGCCGCTCTCGGAACATTACCAGCGAAGACGTCTTGAGAAGGTGTTGTAACGAACAATACAGACTTCACGGATTACATAATCTCACACGCGAGCCAGAACTAAAACAAGGCGATCTCTGCGGAAAGGACCACCCTCAAATACGTTGTACTGCTACAGTAGCAATTTCGTTTTACGGCTGCTCCTCATCAAAATTACAAGTCGTCTTATGTTCAACTTGAGATCGGCGAGGTCTAGGCTCTTAAATCACGTCAGCTAGGCAAACTGTCGAAGCTAATGGCTTGTTTGAGGTAAAAATGTCTTCGTGCTACTCTTGTGTCCGTCATATGGTCTTAGGAAAGTAGGAGTTGATGATCTATCTGGCAATCAACTTTTCGGAGTGCGTGGAGCAGAGAGCGTTAAAGGACAGCAAGTTTTAAAACAAGCCAATTAAGGAGCTTATCATGCAACACGCCAATAGAGCCAGCGCTTGAGCTCGTACACATGGTCAGGCCGACCGAAGTTAGCAAAGACCTTGTGTAACCAGATGTTGCCGGTGTAAATTTGAGTCAGATAATTCAACCATCCGATCATAACTTTAAGTGTTGCAAGCAGTCGCAACGCGTGTAAAAATAAATGATTTTCGAATTCATGATCAAGATCGATCGGATTTAACACGAGCAAGTCTGACCACTGCGTATACAGCAACCGTAATGACGACCTCATTTTTTGTGATACTTTACGTAGACGACTTGACTATCGCAAGTAGTGATGGCGCGTTGCTTTCATCAAAAAAGTGAGTGCTTAGCGAACGATTCGAGATGACTAATTTAATGAACTGAAAACTTTCTTGAAATGGATATTTGACAAAATTGCGGTTCAGGTCAAGTGACTATTCGGGAAACCAACTTACTTAAATTGTTTTTGGCTAATCTCGTCATGCAGGAGTGCTAACCTGTAAAGACACCTCAAGATCCAAGACTAGAGCTGACGAAGATGTTATAAGTATAACACCACGTTCAAGAACGTACCTAACCGAAATGGTGTTGGCGGCATCATGTACTTGATGTTAACCACGCGTCCAGACCTTGCTGCAGCAGTGGAAGCTTTGAGTAAATTTGCGGCTGACTTATGCCGAAAATCACTCAACGCGACTCAGATTCATGGCCTTGCGCTCTCGCGAAACGGTGTTGCAGATATACAGGGGTTCCCGGATGCCGATTGAGCCGAAGATCATAAGCGATTTTGTCTTTGCCATCATCAACAACTTTATTAGCTGGTGGATCAAGAAGCAGCGAACGGTAGCACTCTCATCTACTGAATTGCAATACATGGCGTTGTCAGAAGCAACTCAGGAGGCAGTATCGCTCAAGGTGTTCTTGCAAGAGCTTGGTGATTTGGCTGACGATAAGTCCATCAAATTCTATGAGAGCATCGAAGGTTAAATTGCATTGGGCAAGAATGTCGAGTTTCTTCAGCGCACCAAGCTATTGATATTCGGTACCATTTCGTGCGTGAAAATTTGAATGATGTTGGGGTATTGCCCAACGCAAGACATGCTGGCTGACATCATGGCCAAGCCAATTGTTGCTGTGCGGTTTTCATCGCTTCGAGATTGACTTGGATTTCTAAATGCAGAAGTTGTCAAGGTGTTGCAAAGAAAGTGTCTTGACCAACTGAAAGTAACTGGATGGTACCGATATACACAGGTAGATTTTGTGTGTACACCGAGAGAATGCACATCTGGGCATAGTTTGTCGTTTGAGCTGATTGCGAGATTTAACTTTGGACTGGATGGCGACGTGACACGCTCTGATTGGCTTAGAGTTGCAAAAAAATGTATATTAAGGATCTCAATACAACTACTTTGTATTTCTCTTCGTAGTCAACACCGTACTTTTGTGGCGGAACGCTGCTAAGTCTTAGACTTGAATTCAAGGTATGACCTCATACTTGGTATGGCATGGTTGGAACACCATGAGCCCTGGATCGATTGGAGATCGAAGACCTTGCTACGCTAACGTCTCCTGGTGGAGCTTTGGTGAGTCATAAATTCACCTCTGCAAGGAGGCAAAATATCAACGTGCTCGAGATCGGACTATTCGAGATGTCGAACACCGAAGGTGTATCGGACAGGAGACCCGAGCATGTCTCGCGGGCTGGACGTGGAGTGGCACGTAACTCACTGAGCGCTGCTCGCTCGTGGAATGATCTGTCAAAGGTCGAGGCATCGAAAGCGAGGCCGCGGTGATTAATGTGAAGTGGCACGTAACCCACTGAGTGCTACTCAGATATCGAAGCAGTCGCGACATGCCACGAGTGGCATGGTCGGTCGATCTTGGGCAAGGCCCTTCAGATGCGCGTGGAGTGGCACGTTATCCACTGAACGAAGACTGCGGAAATACCAGCTCTTCGCCGGATGTTGTTAGTAATATCAAGGCTCCGATGGAGCAGGGAGTGGGACACTGGGCGACGCTAAGTGCGTGTCTCCACTGGTCTCGCCCTGACGTACAGCCTTTGTGAAGAGGCCACAGCAGCGCCGTATGCTTGCTGCAAGACGCCAGGCGTCCACCCTGACCCATGATGTGTCTAACGTAGACGATCATCTACACCCTCGTCAACGGTATGACGGGAGAGGAAGACGGTGACGTCACCCTCGAGGCTATTCCTGCGGTAGATGCTCTTCTTGAGCTGGACAAGATGTCCTTCAAAGTGTTCGGCAATGCCTTGATGACAGGGGACTTGGTCTTTCTACGACCGGAACAGGAAATCAACCTGTCATCGCTTTTGGATGAAGCTGTCATGGAGGAATCCAAGAGGGTGCTGAACGCACGAAGTGGATCTTCGATCCTAGTCCATCGGATTCGTACTATCTTTTGGTGAAGGAATGTTAAGACGTTTCCGCCGTCGGTCCTACTTCCAGACCGAGGTATGCGTCATGAGATCGACCTGATTCCGGGAACCAAATACTGCGTAACACGCCAATTGTCCCTGTCCAAGAAGCAGTGTGATGTCATTGACGCCTTTTTCCGTGCGAAGCCCAACGCAGTAATGGTGCGTGTTTTACGTTTTGATTTATTTAAACGACCTTTAAATTGTAAACGATATCCCATAATATTTGAGAATAATTTAGAGGAACTGAAAAATTGATAGAATATAATAATTACTTACAAGCGTTGTCATATTTTGATAGATTAGATTATGTTTCAATGATGTGTCAAGAAAGA